AACAGCACAGAGCTCTGTTTTTATTGGATGTGTTATTCAAATATCACATTTGTCTTTCAGGTGTTTGTGTAACCATTGCAGCTTCCTGAGACACCAGTTCATTGAAGAGGAGGAGAACCCCCTGTAACCTGATCTGTAAAGAAATATGACCCCCGGGTAAGCTTGTCTCACTGCAGGTGTATATGAATTAAGTGAAAATGTATTTTCAATCATCATTGATTCTTATTACAATAATAAAGTGTGCATCTGTCTTTACAAAGAATGTCTTCTCCTTTATCTGTCAGCTACTAATATGAGTTTTATTTATGAGGTCTGTTTTGTGTAGACAGGCTACATTTGTGGAAAAAAAACATGTTAAAATATAGTGTCATTTACTTTTGCATATCGCTCAAAGTTGTTCTACCTATCAACTAATAAATTATTAGAGTGAAATGAGTTGGGAACTAATAAAAAAAAGGGCAGCACTTAATTAGTCATGATGTAATTTTAAATAACTCCTGTGATTTTATTTTTAGAATACTTTAAAATATTTAATCAGATTGCCTTCCATACATGAAACTTGTTTTAAAAATCGTGCATGTTAGCAAGATTTTCCTTTTTTCTGATGACCATAAGCAGAAACATCAACACAGGTTGTTACTGGATGGGTGGATTCTTGACCAGTAAGAAAAAGTCAGTTTGTGCTGCAGGAAAAAAATCCGACATATGATTTACGGCTAGTCGTGAATTGAAGACATTTCAAATTTATACAAATATCTATGCAGGTTTTAATGAAAATGGAACTGCTGTAGGGAGGAAGAGAATTTAAAGTCACTATAAACTATCCTAGCACCAATTTAATATTTATTATCTAATTTTATGGGCAAAAAATTACAGCGGCTGTAACTACCCCAAACTGCTTTTATAATGTAACTATATTTTATATGAACACTCTCAAATGTTCTTTGAAAAGCACAGAAGAGAAAACAGCATATTCCTATTTTATCATAACAATGACTTGAAATGTAACAGTTGCACTGATTCATCTCAACAGGTTACAAAGAAAATGTGCCTCAAACATTTTAAAATGACTCCCAAAGACTTGTCTGCAGAGCCTGTCAAATTAATCTGCTGTTTGTCCAAAGCAAAGGCCATGAAATTCAATTTGGGATGCTCCTGATGTCTGGGTATAAGCAGCTTTCAGCCACCAAGTGACAAGCGTGTGTACAAACAATGATTAGCTACATCCACAAAAACCTTCATAAGCCTGGAGGTGGTTTACTCTGAGATCATTTAGTAATGCCTGGTAATAAGTAGTATGCATATCAACAAGTAGTAGGCTACTTTTTGTGTACATAACATTAAGTAATCTCATTAGCTTTAGGATTTGGTTGCTGCAAATTAATTGGCAGCGTGTAAATCAAAGCTGTGCAATTTGATTCTCTTTTAGTATTCATTGCAGTGTAATTATGGAAAGCAGCTTGTACTTATTCTCTATCTCTCTGTCAATATGTAAATGCTCTGCTAAAGGTAAAACCTAATAATGGCGTAGGCTTTAAAAAACTAAGAATTTATAAATGAGGACCAACTGGTTGACGAGTGCGGAGGAGGAAACTTTATTGAACATGCCACTCCTTTGAACTAATAACCAAAATCTATTGGAAATGTGTCACATCATTATTTAATATCTTTCAAGAAATGTATCACATCATTATTTAATATCTTTCAAGAAGTTTTGCCACTTAAAAAAAGCTTTATAAACTGACAAACCTGTTGCTCAATCATTACCTCACACTCTTTTGAGCATCAGGTTGAAGATTCGCTGTGAACGCTGCACATTTCATTGATGCAGCGTTCACTGGCAGAAATATATCTTAATGGCGGTTATCCTGTACAACTGTATACGGATATTTATTCATATGTGGATGCATATAGACATGAATGTGAGTGTCTGACTTGTTCCTAAGCAACAGTAGACCTGTGAGCCCAGTGACAGATGGTTGGTGAAGTTATTTTGGTTTAGAGAAGAAGAAGAGGGAGGGAGCGATGAGGTGCCTGGACGGAGGAAAAGGGGGGGGTTGTTTCCACTTAACATCAGGGAATTGGCAGCCTAGCAACATACACTAAGTGAAAACATCCTTAGCAACAAGGAGGTGGTGTTTGACCACACCCACCTCCCTGTTGCTCCTTACCCCCACATCCTTTTTGTTCGTGGTGCTGCCACAGGGCTGACATAGCTCAGGACTCAAAATGGACATACCCTGAGAAGACTTTCCTCACTACTTCCCTCTTCTTAATTGACACATTTCTTTTAAAATGCCCCTTTTAATAGCTGATCAAAGCACAGACAGGACTTTGAGGAAGCCTATGCAAACACCAAGGCAAGTAAAGAGTGCATTAACAAAGTGTGGTTTGGATATTAAATATGGATAAACTAAGTATCGAGAGATGCAGGGAAAGTGTTAGAGGTTATGTTTTGATCCAAAGGCGTTTATCCACCTTTGGGACTCTTAATCACGCAGAAGTAAATACAGTCATTAATTACACACTGATACAGATTGCAGGTTACAGTGCCACTGCCGAGTGCTGCCCGACATCAACCCCACACTAAGCAACCATCAGTCATTATAGTTATTTTAAGGAGATAATGACTTCATTACTTTGATTTGCATTGGGATATTAGACTTGGTGTTCATTTGTCCTGTTGTTTATATGGCTGGTAAAATGTGTTTGTTTGAGAACAGATTACAGATTTCATTTTATTTGATGAAATGCCTGCTCTGCCTCGGCAGTGCAGCTACTCAAGGCATTCCCATTAACTTAATTTCCACTTAGACCTACATCAGAAATACAGGCTATACCATGTTCAATATTTACAACCAGCCTTTATTTCCTCTTTACTTATTTAGTTCCAGCTGTCTTCCTCAGTCCTGAAGTCTTGATGCACTTACTGTAAAACAACACACAATGGCATAAATGCACTATTTACATTTCTCAATCATGTTTCCTCAGTTATTTATTTGTTTGTACTTTCTATAGCTTAACATCCTCTGAGTGGGAAATGTAAAATGCAGATCCAGATAGGCAATAGGAGGTAAAGCTTCACATAACAAACACACATTATCCACCCACCCTAGCAACTCCATGGTACATTTCATAAGCCTGCCAACCCTTCACCTGAGAAAAACTCATATCCCTCCACTTGACCCTCCCACCCGCAAGTTAAACCCAGTGAAACCGGAAAGGGTAAGCCGGCTGTGGCTAACAAACACCACATTTTTCCTGAGAGCAATTGCGTTTTTAATATCGGCTCTCTGCGACGGTGTTCTCAGACTCAGTGAAAGGCTTAAAGGGCTCCAAATAGATCTGTAACGCAGGTCAGGACCCTTCCATCCCCCTTTCCTTCTCCAGCCCCCATCCTCACTTCTTGTTCAGTCTTAATTGGCTGCCATCTGACCCAGTCTCTGGCTTTTTACTCAGGACAACTGACGCTATGCTCTTCCCAAAATGCCACTCAACTGTGGGGGTGAAGCGCCACAGACAGATATGGAGCCAATAGATCTAAAGCAGTCAATACTGGAGAGGCGGTTTGATTGCCTTCAGTGTATTACTTGAACTATCCAACCACACTAAGAGCCTAATGCCAGCAGAACATTAGACTATTATAGCTTTTCTACTTATTTCTCTATTTTTGTCATTCCTTCTCGCGGCAGTTCTTGGACACGGGTGGCAGTAACTTAGCAACAAGCCGAAGAATAGAAGCAGGGCACAGGGATAAAGATTCAATAAATGGACAAGTGCAGAGATAAGAAGCATTGTCTGCTTCTGCAAGCCCCAACACACACATACGTCGCACACTTCCAAAAGTTAATTCGCAATTTGAGCTTTTATCCCATTTTCTGCCTCATTTTCTTTTGATTTATTTTTCCTTCATGTTTTAGAAACCGCTAAATGTCCACATGCTCCATCATTCAGTGGAACAGGAAGTGTTTTTTCTGTGGCGGCCTCTTATCAGATAAGTGAGGATGGAGAGCTTGGTTAGACTGTTTTTAGGTAATGCATTTTTTCTACGCAATAGCTTGGGGCAAAGTCAGTCCTTTTTAGATCTTGAAAAATCAGAAAATTACCTAAATGACCATTGTTGTATATTTTATTGTCCCACTAGGGGTCCTTCTAATACAACTACACACTTCCTTTTTGCTGCTTCAAGACTTTGTGCTATTCATTTTGAGTTTCTTGATATTCGGTTTCATGAAAGTTTACCAATTTGTACAGTTTATGTATTTACTGTCACACTCACTTCCTTGTTCTGTAAATTAAATTGCTGTTTTTCCCAGAGGACTCTGGTGGCTTTGAAAAAAACATAGATGAAGTGGGGAAAGTATTTTTAAATATATAGCACGAATAAACTGATATCAACTTTTAGGTGGGCTTTTGTTTCAGGTGGCTTAATTATGTGTTGCTGTTGCCCCTACAGTATCAGCAGCAGTTCATTGTTTTGCTTCTGTGACATTACTCCTGTCTGCTCCTCTAAACTTTCAGCCACTATCTACTGTAGGTTATACTGTACACTGGATCATACAACTCCACTTCAATCCAATGTATCCCTTTAATTAATTTGACTTAAATATTTTGCAACACTTGATGCAATTTCCTTACATCATCAACTATCTGTCCATAAAACACAATGAAACTGACCATAATGTGTGCATGATGATAGATGGCTAAGTGTTATCAGTAAAACACACTGCAAGCATTTTTTAAGGATAAAAGTGATAATCTGTTCAAAAATAATTAGACAATTGTGGGTCTATTCTTTTGTTTTGCCTAACCTCCACCCCATAGTTGCAGAGAAATCTGTTTCTTGAGAAGAGCTGCAAACATCAACAAACCCATATTGGGTATTAAAATACAAAGCAGAGTGAACTTACTCCACGGAAAGTAAAGTAGGCTTTATTAGGTTCGTTTTTCTTATCAAACGTTATCAAACCATTGGAAAACGAGTTTCAACAGGCCATGAATAAGCTGCTCGCTGTTAAATTTACGGGATGGAGTTTGATGTGGCGAAACTGTATGACCCACCAACATGAGTTTAGTCATGTCAAGAATGAGGAAAGGCGTTCATGTTGCGAAGTGAACAAGCCCACAGGGAACAGAGACGACTCGAGTCTAATCGACTCCGTTACTCTCCAGCCATGGGAGCTTTTTCAGACAGTCTCCTGATACTGTTTCTCTCTTTGTTATCGGCATCAAACGTTTTCGGTAAGTTTTCAATTATTTCAGTTACTTTTTACAACTTTCACCTGCTAAGGCGACCTGTTTTTTTTCTGCCCGACAAGTGGGGCACCTTTTGAAGGTACCACCCACAGTTAGACCTTAAACTGTTTATGTGCTGATGGTTTTCGATGTCATGTCCTCAGACTGAACACAGAATAATTGACTGTAAATTGACTTGAATGCAGCACCGCTGTTGGTTTTAATTGCGCTGCTCTGCTGGAGCTTTCGCCACCTTTCCTTATAAGGGAGTGAAAAGAGTCGGGATGTGAGGACCAGGGCTCCTCCACAGGCTGCCTGGTCTCCGCAGCAATAATCATTATTATAATTAATTATTAACAATAGAGAATACACATACGTCTCCCTATATATATATATATATATATATATATATATATATATATATATATATATATATATATATATATATATATATATATATATATATATATATATATATATATATATATATATATATATATATATATATATATATATATATATATGCCAATGCGGTTTTACTTGTCCTTAATTGACTCAAAAGCTACCTCAATAAATAAAACACAATGACAGATGTTCTATAAGGACTATAGCATAACCATGAAGTACTGTATCTGAAAAAAACCTTAGGCCTATGTTTGGGGTTAATTATTAAACTACAGGAGCCATTGTTCATTTGAAATAGATATGTCTAGACTCAGGCAGTTATTCAAGTGTCTATTAAAGTTTATTGTTCTTATACAGTATATTCTGTCAGATAAAGAAGGTTAACAGTGGGGACTGAGCTTCTCTGTTCTCCAGTGAGCCGCACCCAAAGGCCATGCTAGATAACAGATATAAAAGCATTTGGCAATATTTGTTGACTTAAATGTTTGTGCAATTTGCTGAAATGGTCAAATGACTCTCAAAAATTAGATTTCAACATCCATCACTTCTTGTGAAAGACTTAATTTGAAGGATCTAGTGTCTGTCTTTGTGGTTGAAAAGAGCTGCCTGTCACTGCCGATTTAAGTGTGGTCAGCAGTGTTATCTATGACATACATGTACTGAGGAAGAAAAGTGACATGTGTCATATGTGACATATGGTTGACACTTAGGTTAAGGAATTGTACTCACTTACATCCAAACACTACAAAGAATACATTTATATCACTTTGTATATACTTTTAACTCAACTGAATTTATTTCACCCCTTATTTTACTTGGTACATTGCAGATACAAACTTTAAATATAAACAACAAATAAATGATGATTATGAATACACATAAGGTTTCTTCACAAGCTGCAATGTTAAAATAATGTACTCTTTAATGAATCAATAATAATAACCAATAAACAATTGTCTGAAATATACCATTCTGCATAATGAATACTTTCACATTGTGTACATTTTATTGTTAGGATTATTCTTTTGTACTTTATATAACAGTGAGTAGCCTACTTTTTATTAAACTGAGTTTGTGTTACATTTCTATTGTGCTGGTTATTACAGGTTCCAACATCTGCACCTCACAAGGAGTCACCACATGTCAACATTGCTTGGCTGTTCATCCTACGTGTGCCTGGTGCTCTCAGGAGGTAAATACACCAGACGCACACTTTCACAAACTGTGTAATTGCTCCTCCCTCCTATTGCTCTGTGCAGCAAGTTAGTACAGGAAACTTGGTTTCCACCAGCATTCTTCTTTTTGTAATTTTCTTATGTTTGTTCTTCAACATGCTTACACATTGTAGCGATAGGGAAATGGGTGTATATCCTATGGACTTTTCTAAACGGGATATAACTGTGCCTGCTTTTAGGTGGATACATCAGTATTATCTCCTAAATGCAAACCTAAAAAGCTTTTTCTTTAATGGATTCTCTTTAACACAATGATACTTTATATAGGAGTATGGCAAGGGAGGATCCGGTGCGTCCCGCTGCGACCTGAAGGCCAATCTGCTGAAAGGGGGCTGCAGTACAGATGATCTGGAGTTTCCCTCCAGCACCCTGAATATTCAGAAGGACTCACCGCTCAGCGACAAGGCCTCTGGCACTGCTGATGATGTCACACAGATAAGGCCTCAGAAAATCCATATTGCACTAAGACCAGGTACTTTCACCCAACGTCTGCCTACAACCAGTTGCTAACAATCATTCATGACCAGATATACACATTGGTGACTAGTAGACACCAACGACCATTACTATTGTTCTGGATGCAATATTAGCCTGCATTTTCAGAACTGGTTAACCTACGAATGTCCATCTGTAAATGAATTACTCATCCTGTGTTACCTTGAATTTGTTAGAAAACGTTGTTGTTCTTGCATTCCTCCATGTAGTATGTAATAAGAGTATGGCTGTATATATGAGACTCGAATTATACTGTATTTCTTACTTGAAAAACAAAACATGGTGTAAGGACAGACAATTGATCTCATCCAGTCTATCATTCCCTCCTCCATCTCTGTGGCCCTCTGCTCTTCCCCTCTCAGGAGACTCCCAGCATTTCACAGTGTCAGTGAAACAGGTAGAGGATTACCCAGTGGACCTCTACTATCTGATGGATCTTTCGTATTCAATGAAGAATGACTTGGTTCGCCTTCGCACCTTGGGCAATGAGCTTGCCGTGACCATGGGCCGCACCACCAGCAACCTGCGCATGGGGTTTGGAGCCTTTGTGGACAAGACCATCTTCCCTTACATGTACACCCATCCTCCAGAGGCATTGGCAAACCCTTGCCATGGGTATGTGCGCAGTTTATTGTTGGCTTGACATTTGAGGAGGAGGAGAAGGAGCTGAGGTGAAGATTTTTTAATATTCTGAGAAAGTCTGCCCAGTTCACCTTCACTGATTTCCTATTCCCCATTCACCTTTTCAATATATACAGAGATCATCAGACTTGTGTGGCTCAATTCGGGTTCAAGCATGTGCTGTCACTGACAGAGAAGGTGGCTCGCTTCACTGAGGAGGTTGAGAAACAGCAGGTGTCTAAAAATAGAGATGCTCCGGAGGGTGGATTTGATGCCATCATGCAGGCTGTGGTGTGCAAGGTATGAAAATGTAGTTACATACACAAGCTTGCTGACGTGCAAAACAGAGAATCTGCATTACGCATATTAGTCTTTCTCTTACTTGTCATATCATTTCTCTGTTCATTATCATTAGGAAAGGATTGGCTGGCGCCCAGATGCCTCGCACCTTTTAGTGTTCACCACTGATGCCGTTACTCACATCGCTCTGGATGGACGTATAGCAGGAATTGTCCAGCCCAATGATGGCCTATGCCACCTTGATCAGGACAATGTTTACAACAAAACTGCTGTGCTGGTAAAGAGCGATTATTCAGTACATTAGCATTTCACTTTGGTTTTAATAGTTTATACAGTTGTTGGACAGAACCTACTTCCCTTTTATTATTTTCTTCATGGGTCTTTCAGGACTATCCCTCCTTGGCACAGATGACAGAGAAAATGTCTCAAAACAACATTAATTTAGTTTTTGCCGTGACCAGCTTTGTGGTGCCACTTTACAAGGTAAACAAACTGCACTGCTTGTGCCACACGCATTTCCTTAAGCTATTGGCATTAAAACACAATAGTTGGTCATCATCTTGCTGTTTTTTTTTGTGTTCCAGGAGTACAGTAAGCTTATTCCAGGCTCAACCGTGGGATTGCTGTCGGATGACTCTGGGAATGTTATTCAGCTCATTTCAGATGCTTATGCGGTAAGGATTTCCGCAAAATTGTGTTTCTTGAAAACTCATGCACTATAATTCATCCGTAAAAAATGTATACATTTTCTCTGTCTAACCTCATAACTTTGTGTTGAGCAGAGAATTCGCTCTAAAGTGGAACTGGAGTTAGTGGGAGTTCCAGATGAGTTGAATCTGTCCTTCAATGCCACTTGTCTAAATGGAGAGGTCATCCTTGGACTCAAGTCCTGCTCCGGCCTCAACATTGGAGACACAGTACGTATCTGTTGAGATGCTGACATGCACATTTATAGACACAGTCACAGATACATTTCCTCCTCAGGTGTCATTCAATGTGGAGGCTCAGTTACGTGGCTGCCCGAAGGAGAAGAGCCGCACTTTTACTATCAAACCTCGAGGCTTTAAGGATTCCCTGGAGGTAACCGTTGACTTTTCCTGTGGCTGCGACTGTGAGGCGGAGGCCCAAGCCGACAGCCCCCTCTGTAGCGACGGCAACGGGACCTACGAGTGTGGCGTGTGTCAGTGTCACAAGGGCCGTCTGGGCCCAACCTGCCAGTGCTCAGTGGAGGACTACAGTCCGTCTGACGATGCCAACTGCAACCCAAAGCCTGGGAGCCCAATCTGCAGCGGGAGAGGCGACTGTTTGTGTGGACAGTGCTCTTGCCATGACAATGAGTTCGGCCAGGTGTGGGGCAAATTCTGCGAATGTGACGACTTTAACTGCCTGCGCTTCAAAGGGGCACTGTGCTCCGGTGAGTAGATGCACTCCTTTAGGTCATCAACATTGTTTGTACTTTTTGCATCTTTGCCAATATGACATCTTGCTAAAAAACATAATCATAAGAGGAAGCACTTCTGATTCTGACAGATATGACATCCCGACCGCACGCCAAGTGAGATTCAAACAATCGCATACTTCTTCATTACATCTGTACTTAGTACTCGATACACTGGAAAAGTGAACTCAGTAGATTTCAGATTGCGGCCAGGTGTCTATAATGACCACCTATTTAATGTTTCATTAAATAACACAACTCAACCCCAAATCGTTTTTACTTGCAAATCTCACACAATGGATATGTTCTAGAGCCTCTAATGTTTTGAACATGTTTTTCTGTTCATGTTCAGGTGGAATTCGTCATAACTGTAAGCACCCAGACTAAACAGCATTTATATCCATTAAATAAGGCAGTGACAGAAATCTCAAAACATTGACAGATGAAATATAAACTACATGGCTAGATATTTTTTAAGGGACATGAAATAAATAAGTTCTTTCTTCTTCTTCCTTTTTGTTTTTCTAAGGAAGCAAACTCATTATGATACTCTTCCCAGGAAAGATAATATCGCCCTTCCCCTTCCCTTTTCCCTGTTATACGGCCCAATCTGGCCTTTCTGGATCCTACTCTGGTTGTTTCAAGTCGTTTTTAGTCTGTAAACACACCTTAGTTAGTTTTCTGATACTTAGTTTGACAAATCAAAAAAACACAGCCTTTTCTGTGCTAATGTTTAATTACTACTACAGTCTCTGTTTTGCTTGTAAAGGACTTGTAAATAATTGCATAATTTAGCTGCCAAGCATAAACAGTAATGCTTACAAATTGAACAATACTCGGTCAGGTCTGTAAACTTGTGTGAACTTGGTTTGATTTATGTTCTTACCACTTGCAGCAGTGCGCCATGATGTGCTATCACTCCCTCCCACAGTTACTCAATCACAGTGATGAAACATCAATTGGGTTTTTTAATGTAACTGCGGTTTGGGTGGGTATTGTAAGGAGGAGGCTGAGGAAAAGCAAAATAGGAATCTAATTTTTATTTATTAAGCAAGGAGGGTCTATTTAAAATCTGCATTTTCTCCCTAACTCTCCATTACGGGAAGAGTAGGAACCAATGATGTTTTAGCTAGAAGTCAGGATATCTCAACCACTGCTATATTGATTCTGCACAGCACCAAATGTAGAAAATGGCAATACTAAATCCATGGAGTGTGCTTTTTACATACAGTCGTTTTACAGTAATGGATTCCGGTTTCTAGTAAACTATTAGAAAAAAAAGGAAATGGGTATAAACATCACAAACGGTGTGAATATACTTTTCACAGCCTCGTAGTATTTTAACTTTCAACATTCACAACTAAACTAAACATACTCTGGGTCCCTTGTGGGTTCAACATGACCTGAGGAGAAGTGTCTTAATTTTTCTTAGCATGACATAATTATCAACAAGAAGGGGTTTCTCAAAGGAGGTTGTTTTAAAAAAACAAACAGATATTTAGTCTTAATGATGACGCCCATGGTTTGGGCGCAGACGCTCACCCAACTTGCCCTCCCACACCTACACAAACAAATCCATTTCTTGTGTAAGTCACTCCACAGAGCTCAATTGGGGCCGTAAAATTGTTCTGTCTCAGTAGACTCATGATGGTGTTGTCTTTAAAGAGTGAGCGTCCCTCCCTCAGCCCCAGCTCAATTGGAGCTACTGCGACCCAGGGCTCAGAAAAAGCTCCAGCTCTGGGATATTCCCGTTGGCTGTGTATTTCCTCCTGTGCTGAGGGGCTGTGGGACCGGTGCAGGAGCAGGAGTCAGCAAGCACAGCCGCAGGGCCCATAAATATGAGGAAGAGAAGACAGGAAGGTTTGCATTCCACCGCTGACAATTGGCCCAACCCCTTTTCTCTCCAGCATGTCTCTAGCCCCACTTCATTTGTTATGTTCCCTCTCTTCTTCCAATCGTGATCTGTTTTACTGTTCTGTCTTCATTCCTGTTTTTTTCCTTTTATCATGGCCCCGATGTTTACCTTCTCTTAAGCCAAGGCAGTTGATTAATGGGCAGAGTATGATGTAAACCCTAAAACTCCCTTTTTTGTGTGTGAATCACCTTTCAAACTAATAGGAACAAGACAACAACGCAGTCTTGTAAGGTTTAAGTGCTCTACACTGCAAACAATATTAATTGTAACATTGACAATATAGTTTCCACAGTTTTTCAACAGGTTTAGGTTATCTTCTTAACAGAGAAAGAAAGATGACAAGGTGATTGTTTTGCTAACAATATGCAAGACTGTTAAACATGAACTGTGAACACATCTTATGCCATCACAGCTATAAACACAATGTAAAAGAGAAGCCATTATTGACAGGGTGGAGACTGGGGAATTGTTTCCTAGAGTTTTAAGGGTGGTGATTTGTTTTGGACTCTGGAATTACCGACCCTTGGACCCTCTGTGACCAGTTACTCCCCCATTCTGATCCAGCTGGGGTGTGACTCATTCAGTTTGCTCTTAGTCACCCAGTGCCAAATCCTGTTTGGTTTCCTGCAGAGAACGCTGTAGTCTGCAGGGCTCTGCCTTCGTTTCTTAACCTGTTTCACGCCTTCCCCCCGGTACCGGTAGCTTAATCTCTCTGTCTCCCCGTAATCCAGGGAGAAAAACTATTTTCTGTCGGCAAATCGTTGCATCACTGTCACACAATGTGTGTGTGTGTGTGTGTGTGTGTGTGTGTGTGTGGTGTGTGTGTGTGTGTGGTGTGTGTGTGTGTGTGTGTGTGTGTGTGTGTGTGTGTGTGTGTGTGTGTGTGTGTGTGTGTGTGTGTGTGTGTGTGTGTGTGTGGTGTGTGTGTGTGTGTGTGTGTGTGTGTGTGTGTGTGTGTGTGTGTGTGTGTGTGTGTGTGTGTGTGTGTGTGTGTGTGTGTGTGTGTGTGTGTGTGTGTGTGGTGTGTGTGTGTGTGTGTGTGTGTGTGTGTGTGTGTGTGTGTGTGTGTGTGTGTGTGTGTGTGTGTGTGTGTGTGTGTGTGTGTGTGTGTGTGTGTGTGTGTGTGTGTGTGTGTGTGTGTGTGTGTGTGTGTGTGTGTGTGTGTGTGTGTTTTGTATTTTGTTTGCGAGTCCCCACCCATGTGGATAATATACCTGGAAAACATTTTTTGATTAATACGCAATGTTGATGTGAGATGTTCAAATTGTACAAATTGTATATTAAAGAATATATTTGAAGGACTCTTATAGCTTCAACTAAATCATCTTTTTGCTTTTTCCAGATCATGGGAAGTGTGGCTGTGGCATCTGTCAGTGTGACGCTGGATGGAAAGGAGATAACTGTAACTGCTCCACACAAATAGACACCTGCATGTCCAGCATTGGCATGCTGTGCAGTGGCCGGGGTTACTGTAGGTGTGGGGTTTGTCAATGCACTCAGCCAGGCGCCTACGGAGACACCTGTGAAAAGTGCCCCACCTGTCCTGATTCCTGTACTTTAAAAAAGTAATTATATTTCTTCATGTTTTAACAAACAAGACACATTAGGGAAGGGAGAAATGAACAGAGAAAAACAAATTCTTAATTACACAGAGTTCCTCCTTGTTAGTATACATTTAAAAAAACTCTGTATATAAAGACAGAACAAATAGTTGATAATTAGTCATATTTTACTTAAATTATTAGAAGTCCTCCTCTGAAGACTCCTAATAAGTATACAAACTATCATGGAAAAATGTCCAGTAACTGTTGAAATGTATATTGCAAACTACTGACTTTGCTATCCTCAACCACTGCCACTAGCAAAGAAAAGATCCTTCATAACAAATGTTGAGACTAACATGGCTGGATTTACTCTGCAGTGCAACATCAATCCATCATGATTTTCCCACATTCCAAGATGATAACAAACTACTCCCACACACATTTTTAACAAATTCAAGTGTGGTTTCATGCAGTGTTAGAGAAAGTACTCTTATATTGACCTCAAACTCAAACTAGTAACTTTAGTTATCATATAAATGTAGTGTATTCTTAGATGTTACTGGTAGTTTGTCCATCCCTTGCATACCAAACTGAAGCACGCACTGCTACTAAAGAGCATAAACAGTATACACACTGAGTACTGTACAACATTTACTAAATGGGACTCTGCTTACAGGAAGTGTGTTGAGTGTCAGCACTTCAAGAGAGGACAGTACACTGAAGACAACAGCTGCAGTAGAATCTGCAAAGATGAAATTAAAGTAGTGGAAGAACTGGGTAAGTTTTCTATTCTATTCCATCTCTAAACTCTTAACTTCATACTGGGATATTAATCACTCGTGCTAATTCTCACTGCTGTTTACCTGCTGCACATCACATGAGAAAAATTCCCCTGGAAGTAGCAAAAGGCATCAATTTTGGTCAAAAATGATAATGCACTGATAGGTATTTTATGTTCTTAAAGATCACTTGATTTGCCTTAACATATTTGTTATACCTTATATCTTCCTTATCCCCTTTCTGCTGCAGCTTTCCATGAGAGCAATGCAGCAGCAGTGAATTGCTCGTACAAAGATGAAGACGACTGTGTTGTGCACTTCCAGTATTACGAAGATGAAACTGGCAAATCCATTCTGTTTGTGATAAAAGAGCCAGGTAATTATACGTTGTTTGCATATGAGAGACATTTAAACTGTCAGAGAACTTTGCATAAACATTTAAACACACTATTAGGGTAGAAGAGTGTGTTTGTAAATGTCATTTCAGCCTGTGTCTGACTGGCAGCAGCAAATGGGAAACAGTGTGTGTAACCAGTAATCTTGTTTTTTCAAAAACATACTTAATGATCTGCTAACCACAGGTACACCCTGCCACACCATAGACATCCACACGTTTAGTAATAATATACTCTATATTTTGCAATGGAGTGTTTCACATTGGAGTTGATTGCTTAACTTCTCAATTGAGCTCCACTTCTTAACCAACATCATGGGAACCAGGAGGAAATTATCTCCGTTTCACCCTCTGCCTCCCCCTCCTGTCTCCCGTCTCCCGTCTCTCAGAGTGTCCTCAGGGTCCAGACATCTTGGTGGTGCTCATGGCGGTGGCCGGAGCTATTTTGCTACTGGGCATCGTGGGCCTGCTCATCTGGAAGCTGCTGGTCACCATTCACGACCGCGGAGAGTATGCCAAGTTTGAGGAAGAGAGATCCAAAGCCAAATGGGATACGGTGAGAAAAAACTGTTTAAAGTAACAGAATATGGCTGCCTTCTAAAGGGGAAAGCCTAAACTGACATCTGTGTATGAATGATTTAAACAGCAATGCCTTTGTTTTGATTTCCTAGGCTAACAATCCCTTGTATAAAGGAGCCACATCCACCTTCACCAATGTAGCGTACCGAGGCAATTAACGATTCAATACAATGAGGAAAACTCAGGGGTCAACGACAGAGATGGAATGTAGTAGCAGAGAAATGGGAAGATCCTATACTGTATCTGAAAAGTAGTTCATGCTGTAAACAACATGGTGTGTTATTGTACATATTGTAAAAATACTTAAAACTGGTAATGTCAGAGATGCTGGCCTGATTTTAGGTTTCCTGTTTTTGCCATATGTCATGCAGTTTTCTGCAGAACTGTACATGCAGTCGTTAAGCATTGTGGTCTTTTTACAAAGCTTTTCTATCGTTGCGTTTATTATACAAACTGGTTTTAAGAAGCGTAAAGCACTCTTTGGAGTCTGCATTAACTGCAAAAAGAGATACAATTCCCCCGGCCTCTAGGCTGACTTGGTTTACAGTGATGTTTGTGATGTATATATATTTTTTTAATGGGTATCAGCAATGGTTTCGGCATCATCCTCTTATTTGTGTATATTGGGCTTTTTTATTTTTCATTTATTTCTTCATTAATTGCTGAATTGTAAACTATTTACATTTTTCCACTGACCAGCACTATTTTAAACTGCAATGTCATGTTGTTTATTTGTGTATATAAGCATACTTGTATTGCACACAAAAAATATAATGGCAACAATATCCTCCATATGGAAGAAGATTGTACAATGTGATGTGTATTTAGGTTGTACAGCTCTGATCCTCTCCTGGGACATGACCTGCAAGATTGCTGCATAGTTGTCTGTGTTTTTTGTTGCACTTTTTAAGAATGTCTGGGGTATTGCTCTAGTTTGTTACACTGATGGAAGGTATAAAGATTAACTTGACAACTTTTGTATGATGCCTAACATTTTGATTTCTTTAAACAAATGTCCAAGCTACTTATTACCTTTATTGAGTTCTGACTTACAGTACAACATCCTTAAACACAACATACTTATGTTTCAGATAGAAACAGCTTCAGGAAGACACAGAAAGCTATTTAAAATTGTAACATAAATTAGAAAGAGATATATACTTATACATTTTCAAAGTATGTCTTTTTGATTCCCAGTTGACACAGGAATAACACAAGAAACAATTAAGGATTGGTTAGCTACATTTTTATATTCAATTCATGCAGGTTCACTAGATGTAGGTTCACTATAATGTGGGTGTTATATTAATAACATGAATGTCAGAGTGCAGAGGCAAAATGTCCTGTGGTCACAGCTGTGAACATCCAATCTAGTCATAGAATATTTCCTGTAACATGGCACACATCATTAAGATTAGACTGTTATTTCCCCTTCCTGCTCTTGTGAGTGTCAGACATTCAATCTGATATTGTTGTCACAAAATGTAGCACTTCCCCTCACATCCATCAACATATATCTCTGTCACCACATCCTGTTCATCACACTGGCCTGATGAGTCCAGCTAATGTGTGCTCCATCAAGTTGTTTTTATACAGTTTTTTGGTGATCCAGTCGTCCTTGGAAATAAAACGGTACATCACAATTGTCTTTTTTCATTTAGCTATTAGCTGACGTTAACCTTTTAGTACAATCAATGGACAGGACATGTTGTTGGATCTGCGTGGCTGTTTAACTGTGCTCCATGCCAGTTGTATAGTAAATGTGTATTAATTCTCATAGGCAATATCAAAGTGTTTATAGTAAATTACCTGTTGCCTTACGGATAACTAAGGTTTCACTGTATAACATTTTGGCTCATTGGTACTGTATGTATTATCTCTGCTGTCTGCAGTACATCATTAGAAGTCTAAATGATGAGTGTGATAGCTGCAGTGCTAGGTGGTCTCTGTCAATCTAATACCAGGATGCAGGGCCGGCCCTTGGCATAGGCAGTATAGGCGAATGCTAAGGGCGCATCAATCTATGGAGGGCGCCGAAAAAAAAAAGAAAAAAGTTAGAAATTAAAAAGATATATATTTTTTTTATTTCATAACAACACAATTTCCCGATTTTGGATCAACAAAGTACTTCTTATTATCTTATACTAACAGAACTACGCCTATATTGGGTACAGCACCCATAAACTATGTCGCACCCCCCCCCCCCCCCCCCCCCCAAAAATCAAGTTGAACTGCCCCAGCCCCAGTAAAAACCAGAGGTTTATGTGAAATAGTTCTTTTTTTGAAATAATGGTTTTAGTGGGCAATTATAGGTTTTAATTTTGTATTTGTGTTAAATTAATATAAATCAAACTCTCAAAAAACGTATACAGCTTTTATTAACATTGGAATTTACTGTGTAAGCAGCCGCAGGGGGGAGAGCTTTATAGAGAGCTCTCTCCTGAAAGACTGAGAGGCTTTGATAACCTCAGCTCAGTGAGGTAAAGGCACACCTTTATATAATCATTATAGTTATAAAAAAATAAGAGAATAGATTTTCATCTATTCTCTTATAGTATAAAATACTATATGACAGTAAAAAAAAGTTGTTATTAATAAACAAGAATAGAGTTTGAAAGGGGAGTGATTAGTAAAATATCCATAAATAAAAAGAAAATCTGCTTACAGTACTGTTTCATATGGGTGTTGAGAGATGTATCCATAGAGCTTTTCATGTTGCTCTCAAAGTGCACCAGATTGATGCTTTCAACTTCAATATTTAAAAAAAAATCTTCCCGGGGGAGCATGCCCCCCGACCCCCCTAGAGGAGGTTCATCCCCCACTTAAATCATGTTCAAATGGATAGGATACTAAATACATTTGCACACATCTTGTGTCCATATCTTGGGAGGAGGGGGGGGGGGGGGGGGCACCATCTAAAATCTTGCCTAGGGCAGCAAATTGGTCAGGGCCGGCCCTGCCAGGATGTCCTGCTTAGGACATGTAATAACTCACCCAAGATGATGACTACCTCCTGACTTGAAATTTCGCACAACAACCAGGTCAACACATCTTTTCTCTCAATCAAATAATGCCAAAAGCTAGGCCAAAGATAAAAATAAAAATAATGGCTAATATACAAGGGTAGAACCTGTCTGTTCCTGAAACAGAAAACTGTTACATGAAGGTTGTCACAAAAATTCGTTTCAATCAACTGTTTAGTTTATACCCTACACAAATGTGGCGGGACATGGGACATTGTAGTTTTCTTTTTGCTTGTTTTTTCTTTGTTAGGACTGGTGAATACTGTCCACTTACTCATATAAGTTCACTGTTGACCTGTGCACCTTCAGTCCCGATATTCTCCTCATCCATGTGTCAGGCAACAGTGGCCCATAGCAAGTTCATCTTGGCGCATGTCTCCCTCTGGTGTATACACGGTGCACTGTTCATATACATGTAGCTCACCTGTGGAGTTGCATATCTTAGCCTTTCAGTTGTTATAACCAACAGTTTTCTTGTACTCCATTTGAAAGAAGAGCAGTTTATTGTAATTTAGATATACAAATCAGTTTGGAAAGGTGTGTGGTAATGTGAGCCTTGAGTTGTGTTTTAGTAGTTTTGCCAATAACAAATATTCAGAGCCAAAAAACAAGTCAATTATTGAACCACTTTAACCTCCATGCATTGCATACATCTAATGAAATGTCCAAATATGCTTTTGTACTTAATAATAATAATGATATTGGTCTTAATTGCAATATGAACGATAGTCCCTGAACGCACCACGGTTAAATGCACTGCTCCTCTTCCGTCGCGTCAGTTCAAACATGGCGGCGCCCCATGGCGTGGTCGGTGTGGAGGGAGGCAGCAGTGAAACAGCACCTATCCTGTCAGATTCGACCACCGGGGATGAGAAGAGACCTCAGTTCGGAACACGTTTCCTCACAGACCCGCGGCAGGTCTTCCAGCACAACGCATGGTGGGTCATTCTTTACAGAAACCCTCAAGAAGACAGATGTTCGGTCTGCATCTCTCTGTCAGAGACAGAGCCGGTATCCCCTGGCTGATGTTGTATCATAACTTAAAAGTATTACATTATGATATTTTTGCTGAATTGATTGTATCTAAACTGAACATTCTTTCGGAATGTGTGTTGCGTTGCGTTGATAGGGTCTTTACCAATCTGATAACTTGTTATTAGTTGATAATATCATGTAAAAATATAGCATAACAAAATTATGATATCCAGTATTATTTATGCATATTGACAGTCCCAATATATCAGGTATTGTATTCTACAGTTTAATTTGAGGCTCCATAAATAACAAAGGCTTGATGTCTGTTTCCATATGTCAACTGATGGGTCTCAAGTTGTTTAAAAACGTAATATTTTCAGTCAGTTTATGTAATGAACATCAATGAATTAGCTTGTAGGCCTACATGTTTGCAGATGTTAATGTATAGGATGTGATATTACAATATTGCCCTATTTTCCAGTCCAATCTGTTTATCACATTAAAACCTTTAATAAGAAGTATCTCAGGATTGTCAAGATTTTTCTGTGCTGTTATTCACTACATCACTTTGGCCACACTGTAATATTGGGTTGTTGGTTACAGGGACAATGTGGAGTGGACGGAGGAACAAGAGGCATCTGCTAAGAGGAAAGTCTTAGAAAACAATCAGCCACTACCTCTTGAGAAACAAGGTAGCATTGTTGCTCTGACATATTGCCTTACACACATGTTGTATGGGTAAGGGAGGCTGTGGCTCAGTGGATTAGTGCGCTGATCTTCGAATCAGAGGGTAGCAAGTTTGAATCCCACTGCAGTCAGCATGTTGTTGTGTCCCTGGGCAAGACACTTCACCCCAAATTGCAAAGTCGCTTTGGATAAAAGCATCTAACAAGTGACATGTAATGTAATGTTGTATATGCATGTGATCAATGAGTCAAAATACACAGCAATTTATCTTGTCGTTGTCAAATAATGCTTTATTTATAGTGTGCAAAAATAATTGGTGCTGTAATTCATTTTTGGCAATTGACTTTGATAATTGGCTGTAAACCTTTTACATTGCAATGACATAACTTTGTTACTGCATTACCTTTTTTTCAGAGGAATACGACAACCGAGCAAATGAGTTTTGGAATAATTTTTACACAATCCATGAAAATCGTTTCTTCAAGGACCGTCACTGGCTCTTCACAGAGTTCCCAGAGTTGGCCCCACAGACTAGCCTTAACCATGAGTCCCGTCTCGAGGTCTCTGGCACAGATTACAGTCAGCAGAGTTGCCTGGATCAAGAACAGAGAAGTGAAGTTGCAGCTTTTGCTCACACTGATGGTGACATCCCTGGCTCCTCTGCCAAATATCGCATTATGGAGGTGAGAGATTCGTTTGAAAGCATGTCAGCTAAACTTGAACCGTACACATTTAATGTCACAGTTAACATTTTGGTGAATTTTATAAACAGTTGCCAAATATTAATCAAAACAAAAATTAACTACGGTACTTATTTGACATAGCAGATAAAGCATTTGTAGAAGAAAAGTGAAGGTTCTCACTTGATATAGGATTTCATCGGTTTTAAGAGCAAAACGTAAAGATCATTTTAACAATACAGGATTTTTCATAACACTTATAAAGAATGGAAAGACAAACATATTTTCCTCTCATTTGTCTTGTATTTGTCATAGTTCTTGGAATGGATGAAATGGATTACTGCCTTTTTTTATATTTGTCTACTTAAATATCACAAATATTTTTACAAACACATTTAGCTGAAATTGATTTGTGCAACCTTGGTGGAAAAATGCATTTTCTAGTAGTTTTATTAATATTCTTTTCAGAATTCACTCTCTTTAAACAAACAATGACACTATATGTGTTGGTGGTCAAATTGAAGGTAAATTGAAGTAAACAAAATAAATGCTATATTTATCTATTTGTATTGGACAGGTTGGCTGTGGTGTAGGCAACACTGTTTTTCCAATACTGAAGACCAACAAGTAAGTCAAGGCATTGCAATGTTGTGCTGTCTTCCGCTCTTGTCTTTTGATGTGCATTGAAAGGCATAACTGCAGCTTTGCTCTTTGCAGTGACCCGGGACTCTTTGTGTACTGCTGTGATTTCTCCAGCACAGCTGTGGAGCTAGTCAAGGTGAGATGGGATTAATGAAAGGATTGTGGGTTGATAGTTGTGTTCATCTCTGGGGTTCAGGGCTAACTGATGAATTAACATTGCTTTCCTTGTCTTCAGTCTAATCCAGAGTACGACCCTGAGCGCTGCTTCGCCTTTGTTCATGACCTGAGTGACGTGGAAGCCAATTACCCCGTCCCCGATGGAACCCTTGATGTTATAGTGCTAATCTTTGTGTTTTCAGCGTTGCATCCTGACAAGTATGAACTTCTTTCTCTATTGTTGTTCTTCTCTTTGGTAGTTACACCATTGACTATATCACTGGTTGTGTTAAAGTTTCACCCTGTCTCAGGATGCAGGCATCCATCAGTAGGTTAGCGCGGCTGCTGAAACCTGGAGGAGTGATACTGCTCAGAGACTACGGACGCTACGATATGGCACAGCTTCGCTTCAAGAAAGGTTAGTCAGGCTAAAGTCCAGCGAGGCTACAGTCTAAAAAACTGTACAGTACTTTGACATGC